TCTCAGCGTGTCATTTGACGGCTTGAAGGTGCAGTGGAAAAGACTACACACAGATAGAGGGATGGTAATGTCTTCACACCCGGCAATTCCCTTTCAAAGGGATGAAAACCAGTCTGCACCAGGGAGGGGGGGCTTTGAGGTGGGTCCTTTCACCCTGACACGGGGGAGGGGGGGCTTTTCAATTGGTGAGCATTCAGCCAGAAAGCTCACGCATTGACTGTTTTGCACCAGCGTTCCTCCTCTCCGCCGCCGTGAAAATATGTGAAACTTGCTCCACTCTGCGGGCGCCACGGCAACCGCCAAGCGGCGGCGGCGGCGACAACAACAACGGCGCACGGGCGCTAATCAGAGACGCACATCGCGCAGGCAGACGCCGAGCAGATGGAAGGGGAACGGCGATCGGGACGCTCGCTCGGAGGAAGAAGACGAGCAGAGAGCGGGACAGCCGGTTACCGCAGCGTCCAAAGCCAGGGACGGGTTTGCGGAGGAAAGAACGGAGGACACCTGCTCAAAAGGAGCCGGAGAGGTCAGGAAGAGGGGGGCAGGGCCGCCAGAAGCCCCCCCAACCCCCACACACACATTTCCTCCTCCTCCTCCGGGGCTGCCGATGGTGTAAAGTCCCGGGTGACCATGTTCCCCTCCGTCCAAAACCAAGACACTCTGGTCCATAAACTACCCATTTGAATGTTAATGGCACAGGCCAAACGAGGAACCAGCCCGGCTAGACCGGCCTGACGGGCGGGATCACAACGGGCCAGCACAATGCTTATACAATGCTGCACAAGGGTTTCCAGCTATTGCGTAACTCCACATTCCACTGGGTCACCAGTAAATATCACATGCTCGCACACACACATCCAATTTCTCCCCGGGCCCCGTCTGATTTCTACCGGCTGTCACTCCCCCCACTGCCCCCCCTCCTCCCACTCCCCTCCCCCTGGTCTATCAAGGAGCCGCTGCACACGGCCCGGCGGACGTACCTCGATTTTGTCGGTCTTGGCGTCCCCCCAGTAGAGCTTCCCGGCGGCGTAGTCGATGGCCAGCCCGTTGGGCCAGCCCAACGAGCTGTTGATCAGAACCAGCCGCTCCGTTCCGTCCAGGTGGGCCCGCTCGATCTTGGGGTGCCTGCCCCAGTCGGTCCAGTACATGTAGCTGAAAGAGTGAATGAGACCAGATGGAACCTACGTCCAGATGGAACCTACGTCCAGATCGTGCACACATGCTGTGCACGCCCAACGGAGGTCCAAACTAAAGTCTCGTCCAAATGTATTCATTAGCATTTGGTTGGTGAGAATTTGCACAATGATTTGCCCCCTTTGACATCACGAACACGTGCACACACGCGCTAAGGCCTACCCATTGACGGGGTCCAGGACGATGGCTCTGGGTTCGTCCAGGTTATCCGATATCAAAATCTTCCGAGAGGTTCCGTTCAGCCTGGTGACCTGGAAAACCGCGTAATTCAATATTAAAATACAACATATTTGCAGCTCGATATTGTAATAACCATCAAACCTGTCACTTCAGATCCGCTCGAGTGTCGTTATTTCCCCAATTATTTAATAGGGTCCAAAGATTTATCTGAATTTGATCAAACTGCGCTTTTCAATCTATTTGGGGAAATTTCAACACTTTCTGCCAGACATTTGAACTTGTTTTACGACTAATAAAGAAAATCTTGTCGCAACTTCACATAATCATTCAGCTTTAAACTGCACAGCATGAATCAGTAAGTATTAAAGTATTAAAGTATTAAGACACGTGTGTTAGAGCGGTTAGTAGAAGAACCCTGATGTAAAGACCCACCTCAATCCGGTCAGTGCCGGTGTCGGTCCAATACAGGTTTCTGGCCACCCAGTCCACCGCTATGCCATCAGGGTGGTTGATCTCCGTGGTAACCAGCATCACGGCATCGCTGCCGTCGATGTGCGACCGCCGGATGGCCCGAACCTCATCGTCCGTCCAATAGACGTAACCCTCCACCGGGTCGTAGTCTATGGCTATGGCATGGCGAATGTCATCAACCTGCATGAGCAGAGCGACAATGGAGCGCAGCACCAGGAGACAGGACCGTTACCTGTGTGTGTGTGTGTGTGTGTGTGTGTGTTTACCTGCAGGACTATGTCGGTGAAGTCTGGCAGGTCCAATGAGATTCTCCTCAGGTCAGTCCGCCGAGCCAGCAGCAAAACCTGCTCCGCTCCTACAAAAACACAAACCTTTTGTTAATAAATGCTAAAAACTGCAAAGAACTAAAGCCCAAAACCAAGTGGACCACAACCATCTGACTCGTTAATGTACAAAACACACAAAACCAACTATTACGCTCTCCTCAAAGGCCCCGAGCTCCGGTCCGACCACGGTAACTTCATCAAACACCTTCTTGTTCCGCTGGTCCAACAATCGCCCGCCCTGGTCTGTTCAAATGAACCCTTAATAGTAACGATAAGCTACCAGACAGTCTGTATCGCGTATACTTCGTGCAGTGCAAAGGATTGATTCCCGAACACGGGGCACGGCTTGTATGTCCATGGAGTCGAAAGATAACGGTCTGCAGACGCAGAGATATCCAGACTTTTAGTTCCTTTCATCAGCCCAAATAACGCCGATGACATTACTTGGCAAATCCCGGCCTGTAAAATGTTCTCATTGTGTCGCTGTCAACAGCCAACAGCTGAAATGACCTTCGGTGGAACATTAAAAATGCACTTGTGTGCGTTCGATGTGCTGGAACCAGTACCCCACCACCACACACACTACAGCCCACGCATGCAGAAGAGTCAACAGCTCCATGACGCCACCTCAGCGACACCCGGTAGGAGCCCAGGAAGGTGGTCTTGTGCAATTGCCTCTCAGGGGCAGGGAGCGATGGATAATCCTGTGCAAAACCTCAACAGCTCCCCAGACATAACAGGGTGTTGGATCAGAGTGGTCTAGGTGGGGGCCGGTCAGCAGCAGGATTCCCGGGAAGATGGACCGCTCAGACCCAACAGGACCATGCCGCGTGCTCTAAATGGTCCGGCGCAAATAGGTAAGAGGCATGAACGTTTGACGAAAAGCCAACCAACGCACATTGTGTCTAACGGGGGGTTGTTACCGGGTGACCGGTGAACCCCCCACTAACGCCCGTGCACCCTCAGTAGCACTGGAGGTCATCGCAAGCCCAAAACACACCCACGGTGAAGCTACCAGCTGCCGTGCATTGCTGCTGTTCATACACAGAGAAGATCAGGGAGATCCTTCCCTTAAGTGTTCATATTCTAAAATACTCCTCCACCTCCAACTACGTTATAGCCAGTGGGCCATTTAGTCCGGCGTCCCGCCGTGAGCCTGGAGGGTGATTGTTGGGGGCACATGGAAGACTCCTCTGCAGTTCAGTCAGTGCGTTGTGAACCTGACGAACAGCAGACGTTTTTTCCTCCCGTCAAGTTGTTCCTTCTCCCAAAGCTCGTGCCATTAAAGTGTAGATGTCGAGGCCGCATCCCGGCAGACCCAAGTCTGAGTATGTGGTCTCTGGACTCGGGCCCAAACACAATCGCGTTTCCAAACAAAACAAAGGTCTATTTCACGAGGACTTTCCTCTCGTATCTCCTTCTATATTTATGTTAAATGTAGGATAATTGGGCGTTTTGGGGCCTAAAACAACGTGAGAGGTTCAGTGGAAAAGTCCTCTGTAAGCCCTCCCACTTAGTGATCTACCAATCAAACGCAACCGATCAGATGTAGACCCCCCGTTACCGTACGATGGGGGGCATCGCCTCCACGCGGCTCTCCGTGTCGGGTCTGCTGCCAATGCGAACTACGGCGGCGGTGTTCACGTGAGGGGGAAACCGCTGGGCGGGCAGCTTTTATCTTTGCACAGCCGATGGCTGCTGGCATGTTTGTGCAGCACCTTTAAGTACTGCAGCGGAGTAAGTGAGCTACTTTCCATCCACACCTAAAGCCCAGAGAACGTTGGATTACAGTCCGGGAGCGGTACGGCCTAATAATACCAATAATGACGGCCTACAGACCAACGAAGCCACAGACACCAGCCCGGAGGACACAAGCTCTCCTGCTCGCCGTCACTCCGCTCGGCAAGCGGAGGGGAGGAGTGAAAAGGGAAGGGAAGCGTCTGTGACTCCGGTCTTCTCCGCGCTCCACTTCATTCTGAGACACGACCTCTGACACACACACACACACACACTCTGCTGCCAGCATAATAACAAACGGCTTCAATTTAACCAGCCAAGCAAAACAAATTAGAAGCACACACACACACACACACACGGACTACAGCCTGACACAATAGAGCATTGTATTTTTTTGTTGTCAGCAGTGGCTAAGCGATTGGTTGGCGTGCCTCGTTCAAACTGAACGTGTTCACAGACGCGCTCGGACACGGCGGTGCAGAAGAAGGCTCTATTGTTTCGCCACCGTGGGAATTAAGATGGCGGCCCGTCAGGTGTCCCGCCACGTTACGCGGACCGCGGCGACATGCGGGGTGCACGCGCATCCTGCACGCACATGGAATTTCCACCTGTTCACTTAATGTTTTTCACTTCGTACTGACAACATTGGGTCGTCCATTATCGAAAGGGTCGTTCGGTGAAGGCAGTCAGAGGGCGCCGGCGCCTCGTACCCGGACCTCTTCCCTGACCCACAGAGTGCTCGCCCTCCTCCCCGAGGTCATACCTGGTTTGCATGTCCTCCCGTCTGGTTTCAGCTGGACTCCGGTGGGACAGGCGCAGCTGTAGAAGGGCTGGACCGGGGACAGCAGGCACAGGTGACTGCAGCCTCCGTTGTTGTCGCTGCAGGGAGTCTGGACTGCGAGCACGTCGGCCCAGGACAGACGGGGGGGACAGGAGAGGGGGGCAGATGTGATCAGGCTCGTGCGCGCATTGACGCGCGGCGCGCTGAGCACTAACGCGGCGCCGGACTCACTGTAAGGCTGCCGATAGGACTCCAGGACCTGGATGTCCATGGGGGAGTAAATGCCGCTGAGGATCTCCCGGGTTTTGTCTCCGCTGTGTTTGTTGCAGGCGTGGATGGAGCGAGTCTGCCAGTCGGTCCAGTACAAGGTCTCCTCAGACAGCGTGAGCGCAAAGGGATGCGTCAGGGTTCCCTCCACCACCGTCTCACTGCGGGACACAGTCGCCAACGTTTGGCTATGATTCACATCCTGGACGTATTCATAGACACAACCATTAATTCTTTCGTTATGCATTTATGGTGCGATATGTGGAAATGCAAACGGTAGATGCAGGGTTTCCCTCCCTTATACGTCGTGTGCAATGGAAGGACATCGCACAGATTGCCGGGCCTTTTAAAATAAGGCTGCATGGGAGTTTACTCCATTTTGCATCCAGCCAAAATGAGCTATTTGAGGACTGAAGAGCTGAAGACCCCCGACTCCCCCCCGAGACCGCAATGTTCATTAACCAACACAAACACTAGACGTGTCAGCAGCGTGTTCGCTTTGCCAGGTTATTTCGGCATGAGGATGGAAATAAAGAGACATTTTCCAAACAGAATGATTGAAATGTAAAGGTGTTAAATAACCTGGTTATTAGATTCATTTTGTGAAGGGCCTCGTGTTGGCCAGTCGCCAAGTATGTACATTCCACAGCAATACACACATTGAGCTCCCTCAAAGACGCAGAGGAGTGTGCGTTAGATTGGATCAGTGTGGTTCTGTTCTAAAGACACACTTTGGAAATCACTGGCAGGAAAATGCACTCGCTTATACGCACTTAAGCGCCGGATCAAAGGAGCCTTTTATTTAGAATATCAACACACCAGAAACTTGTTTCCATCAATCATCATTCTTATGTCCTGTGTGTGTGTGTGTGTGTGTGTGTGTGTGTCTGCACGCAGTAGTTAAAGGGCGGACAGAGAAAGAAGCTCCAGATTTCAGTGTGTCTCTCAGCTTTACGGCTGGCTAGTTAGCCAGTTAGCTCGTTAGCTAGCTTGTGTGTGTGTGTGTGTGGGGTTGTGTGTGTATGGTTGTGTGTGTGTATGGTTGTGATGTGTGTGTGTGGTTGTGTGTGTATGGTTGTGTGTGTGTGTGTGTAT